AACTCATATTTCTCATTGTTAACACTCATAATTATCAGTTTTAACGTTCATATTAATCAGTGTTTATACAGTAAATATGTATATAAGTGAAGAGAAAAACCAACAACTCATCCTTTTATTAACTGGATTTGTTATATAGAAATATCTCACAGTAGACTGATGTATACAAAAAAAACAAGCGTTGACTGATAGGAGGTGTGGAATCGAACCCCGGATTTTAGCGTTGTAAGTCTATAAACGTGCCGTTGACCAACCAGAGGACCAGGTGGAGTCAGTCTCATAGTAAACTTATTAATAAATAGTGGTTTCATATCTTTATTTACGTATGTCTATATATAGGTATATTTAAATATATATGCATGTATTATATATGTCAGCTGACGTATCTGGTATATTCTCTGTATACAGAGATATATGATACACACAAAAACTGAAAGTGGTATAGCTGTTTCCTGTTCAAAGGTCAGTGCCCCCAAAATTCCGTCTAAACAACAGTAAATAACATATTAAGCAGGTTTAATATGTACGTGGTTTCTAGTTATCTTCCATCAAGTTCAGAATGATAGCTGACGGGAAACATTCCTTTCATAAACGTCTATCGAAGAAAAATAATCTTGTGACATTCAATATAAACTAATAGGGAGGAGAAAACCTAATTTACTCCTCAAACAATCCACTTCACAAATAGGTAAACAACAGATAGGTTGGAAATAGTTTTTCGTTTCGTGATTCATATTTCTATAGAACTCTCTTTATCGCCATTAATACTTTCTTTATATCTATTTCTAAAAACAGAAAAAAAACCTTATTCTATTCCGTCTATTACGTATTTTGAAGTTGATCAATCAAAATGAATTATGACAATACGTACCATATTTGATATATTTACTGGCCTAAGATACAAAGACTTAACTATTATATTGACTATGCAATGCACGCAACTATATATAGGCCTAAGTATTATATTGACTATGCAATGTACGCAATTATATATAGGACCTAAGTATTATATTGACTATGCAATGTACGCAATTATATATAGGCCTAAGTATTATATTGACTATGCAATGTTCGCAATTATATATAGGCCTAAGTATTATATTGACTATGCAATGTTCGCAATTATATATAGGCCTAAGTATTATATTAACTATGCAATGTTCGCAATTATACATAGGCCTAAGTATTATATTGACTATGCAATGCACGCAACTATATATAGGCCTAAGTATTATATTGACTATGCAATGTACGCAATTATACATAGACCTAAGTATTATATTGACTATGCAATGTTCGCAATTATATATAGGCCTAAGTATTATATTGACTATGCAATGTTCGCAACTATATATAGGCCTAAGTATTATATTGACTATGCAATGTACGCAATTATACATAGGCCTAAGTATTATATTGACTATGCAATGTACGCAATTATATATATAGGCCTAAGTATTATATTGACTATGCAATGTACGCAATTATACATAGGCCTAAGTATTATATTGACTATGCAATGTACGCAATTATACATAGGCCTAAGTATTATATTGACTATGCAATGTACGCAATTATACATAGGCCTAAGTATTATATTGACTATGCAATGTACGCAATTATACATAGGCCTAAGTATTATATTGACCATGCAATGTACGCAATTATACATAGGCCTAAGTATCAGTACAGAATTACTCTTGGAAGAGGCTTACAACACTGAAATTATTTTTAACTTTATTACACTAGTTTCGGTTTATTGAGGCTGTAATGACAGATGTTTACATATTAGAGGACAAATAAACATAAATAATCATATCAAGCCTAAATAAAAGTACTTAAACTAATATAAATGCGTTGTTGTTTTTAATTTGAACAGAAAATGGATGAACTGTGTATTTGAGATTCATGTGTATTAAATGTCAGTTGATAATTAAAAAATCAAAGGTGAAGACGTCCGAAGAAGATACTACACGAAATAGTCTTTTTGACTGTACTCAACTCCTGTCCTAAGCTCGTGTATTCCATGTATTACCAATTTGTTTTTATATCATCCACTACTACTGGGCTACACGTGTCGCATCATTTTAAGTGATTTTGTGTTTTCGCCTGTTAAAACATGAGAACTGACAAAAACGTTAAATGAATTCACTCTGTTCTTGTGTCAAATACACATGAAACTCCAACAACAAGTAGTGGAAGTAGTTACACAAAATGCGGTATTTCTGTGTACATTGTGTATGTGTCATGTAACCACAAATACTGTCGCGTATAAACACTTTACAACAGGGGTGCGTAAAGTTTTTATGACGCCCCTTTCTAAACATGAGTTCTATTGCGCCCCACATATAATCTGTTTGTGTATATCCTGTACGTGTCATTGTTAATTGTTGTTACTTTATTAAATAATTAATAGTATAATATTGGTATTGTAGTTTTTTTTTTAATTTCGCTATTTATAATCTTGTACTTTCAGATATAATTTATATGATCCTATAGTCACAGTTGCGCCCACCCTCCTGGAGGGTTTATAAAAAAAAAAAGTTTAAAAAACAATTAATGTACCCCTATCGGTAACTCTAGTGTTAAATTACATTCCGTTCAGTGCATGTTTTTCTTGATGTCCATTTAATACTTTCAAACTCCAGAGGCAAATCCTATCACTAACAATAAAACGTTTTAATCTCTATAAAAATTGTTTTATTTTTCATTGGTACTTGCTTGTTAACAAGTTTTATTTTCTACAGAAAATGCATCACATCAATTTCTTTGTCTTCTGTTATCAAGCATGTATTACCGTTTTTTGATTATAATTAACAGAAGAAAATTAACTTTGCCTATATGTGATTTTTTGTATCAAGTTTGTTTGTTTTGTAATTAAGCACAAAGCTAAACAATGGGTTTGTTTGTTTGTTTGTTTGGAATTAAGCACAAAGCTACACAATGGGCTATCTGTGCTCTGCCCACCACGGGTATCGAAACCCGGATTCTAGCGTTGTCAGTCCGCAGACATACCGCTGTGCCACTGGGGGGGCTTTTTTTTTATCAGAATAACTAAGATAGGGCTTATTATCCCTAAAATATTCTATTGTTTTGTAATCAGGTTCGAACCAACGATTAATCTCCTTTACGTCCTGTACTCGGTACATATTAAGCTTCAAAGAAAGGATTTTGTCTTATACAAATACATTTTAAAAACCATTGTGTATTCAAATAATTATTGTTCATTTTACCGTTTTCATTCCAATCAATTCCTCAAACAGAATGACAACAACCATTTGAAATAAGATTAGGTTTTGTTTGACAATCAGCTAGTTATTTCGGATAAACAAAAATCTCAAGAGTTTGATGCACAAATTATCACAAGAATTAACCTGTTGAGCTAATAAGATAATATATATATATAAGGTTCTTAAGATCAGTCAAAACTGGTATTCTCTCGTTCCATATACTAAGAATAACTCGAATACTATATAATACACTATACATGCAGACTGTTGTGAATTGTTGACTAGACTTTGATAAAATCAGATTTTAGTTTATGTAAAATAAGAACTTGTAATTTGTCGAATTCAGACACGCAGCTGTTGTTAACTATTTGTATTTCATACTTACAGCACAGCTACTAAGTCTCTCTTCTGCCTTTCATAATTTTGAACTACTGACCGATCAGCAGCGCCCTACCACCCACATTAATAGATTGACTGTCACTCTTATAATATACCCAAAGCTTGAAGTGTCGGGAATATTTTGTGATGCTGCACGGTTTCGAACCTGGGTCACCAGCTCCGAAATCCAGAACCCCATCAAAAGCCGACCAATGTAGAAAATTATAATTTATAACATATCGAAGAAATGTTACTGAAACTAACAATACAAGATAACTTATACTTTTGTAAAGTATTATTATCATTGGAAAACTCACTCCGACATGAAAAACATTTAAAAGATTTCTCTTGAACCAAGAAAATATAATCACTAATATGATACTTAAAGTGAAGCTAGAAGTCTATATTTGTCACGGTATTATATCACGATGTTCGTGCCTATAATGTAGTACCATTGATCTAACTTCAGTCACGATGTTCGTGCCTATAATGAAGTACCATTGATCTAGCTTCAGTCACGATGTTCGTGCCTATAATGTAGTACCAATAATCTAACTTCAGTCACGATGTTCGTGCCTATAATGTAGTACCATTGATCTAGCTTCAGCCACGATGTTCTTTCCTATAATGTAGTACCAATAATCTAACTTCTGTCTCGATGTTCGTGCCTATAATGTAGTACCAATAATCTGATTTCTGTCTCGACTTCATGATTCTAATGTGGTACCAATAATCTAACTTCTGTCACGATGTTCGTGCCTATAATGTAGTACCAATAATCTAAACTTCTGTCTCGATGTTCGTGCCTATAATGTGGTACCATTGATCTAGCTTCAGTCACGATGTTCATGCCTATAATGTAGTACCAATAATCTAACTTCTGTCTCGACTTCATGATTCTAATGTAGCACCAATAATCTAACTTCTGTCACGATGTTCGTGCCTATAATGTGGTACCAATAATCTAACTTCTGTCACGATGTTCGTGCCTATAATGTAGTACCAATAATCTAAACTTCTGTCACGATGTTCGTGCCTATAATGTAGTACCAATAATCTAACTTGTGTCTCGATGTTCGTGCCTATAATGTGGTACCAATAATCTAACTTCTGTCACGATGTTCGTGCCTATAATGTGGTACCAATAATCTCTGAACAACAGTTTAAGTATTTTTAGTGCCTTTAAGAGTTAACGTTTATGACCTGCTATTTTAACACCAGTAAACTGGAATAAACCGACGATATATTATTTCATCAATAACCATACAGTCTCAGACCACACTCACATGATACGCCAACGAGCTCAACAATTGATTTACGTATAACTATTTACTGCCACGTGAGGTCGCTTCGAAGTGTGGAGAAAAGTAAGAAATGAAAACAAAACCACAATTTCTCTCCAAAATGAAGCCCCAAAGGTTGTTTAATACACAAAAGATATCTGGAAGTTACATCTTCGTCAGGCAAAATAATCAACAAGCTAACAGAGAAATAAAGCATATATTATATTTTATATGCAAGGTGAAGTCAAACGGTCCACCATATTTCAAGTTATTAATTATTATTCTAAAAAAAAAATCAGAATAAACAGGGTAACAATGCTTTCAGTACTTATGAAATTTTGTACAGGGTAACAATGCTTTCAGTACTTTTGAAATTTTATACAGGGTAACAATGCTTTCAGTACTTATGAAATTTTGTACAGGGTAACAATGCTTTCAGTACTTATGTAATTTTTGTACAGAGTAACAATGCTTTCAGTACTTATGAATTTTTTGTACAGGGTAACAATGCTTTCAGTACTTATGTAATTTTTTGTACAGGGTAACAATGCTTTCAGTACTTATGTAATTTTTTGTACAGGGTAACAATGCTTTCAGTACTTATGTAATTCTTGTACAGGGTAACAATGTGCTTTCAGTACTTATGTAATTGTTGTACAGGGTAACAATGCTTTCAGTACTTATGTAATTCTTGTACAGGGTAACAATGCTTTCAGTACTTATGTCATTCTTGTACAGGGTAACAATGCTTTCAGTACTTATGTAATTTTTGTAGAGGGTAACAATGCTTTCAGTACTTATGAATTTTTTTAGAATAGATGTGCCATTTTGTTTTAAAAATAAATATTTCTAGATATTATTGTTTCGGTTATTTTCTGTGATCCAGAAAAAAAAACTGACAAAAATAAAAGAATTATTTTGTATAATATTGTCTATTTCTTCTTGGTCAGAATGGCATATTTTGTAACTTTCTGTACATTATTACATAAACCTCTATTATACATATTCAACTTCTATACACAATGTTAACGCATCCTTTTAGTTATTTTTAATTTGAAATCCTGATATACGTTTAGAGAGAGTTCTTCGTACCATAACTTACATATGCTTTGTCTTGTCCCAAGTTGCATCACCTTCTGTAGTACATAGTCACAAATTACTAATAAGGCTTTGGTTTCACGTTTTCCTCACTAACTAAATAGTCACATTTGTTTTAATTTCAGGGTTGTACGGGTGGTCCTACTCTTTGGCCATAGAAACTGTAAGGTGGACAATAGAGTCCTAGTCCACTGTAAGGGACTTGTGAAAGAGGAACCCCTGGAAGGGTGGGTAGAGATGATTTGTAAGGATGGAATCTGTTGCTTAGTGGGCTGAGGCTGCTGGGGTAAGAAAGTCGAACATTGGTGGGGGTTGTGGGTGAGCCGTAGTGAATGTGGCACGGTCCATTAAGGTTCGCTGGAAAATAAGACAGTGACGAGGCACTATCCACGACTGAGAAAGATGTGTGATTCCGCAAATGTCGAAGTAGTTCCTCTGACGAACTAAATCGCTTACCACAAAAACTGTTCCCAATCATCCAACTGCAGACATTAGGTCGGTGTATCACTGAGTGTGGATGAAGACCAGTTATGGCTGTGGGTGAAGAGGACCCAGAAAGGCCAGGCACTAGGCCTGCAAGGCCCATCCCAGGAAGACGATCAGGATTACACTGGCTGCATCCATTCGCACACTGGTTGGGTTGAGCACTCGCTAAGGTAAACTGACAATTAACACATGAGGGGTCGCGACAAAAGGGCACAAACGACGTTCCACCTCCTGGTGTCTTAACACACGTGTATCCCACGTATTGCGACATACCACCCCCAACAGGCAACATGTTCTGTTTCATAGGAGAAACTACACTCTTTGTGGTAACACTGGTAGGGAAGTTGTGGGCAGAAGAGGCGATGTCCACGGGGATGTGGCCAAACATGGGCGTACATCCCACACAGTTCCCCAGTGGATTAGCACCAGGCTTGTAGACACTAAAGGGGTTACTATCCGGAAAGGACCCGAGCAACTCTTTAGAAGAAGATTCGGAGCATTCTGTGTCCAGCGAATGGAGCGATCCACTAGAAAAGTATCCTAGACTGCTGAGGGTATTCTGACTAATAGCATAGGTTGAGGACGTCGGTGTAGGAGTGGACTTGGAAGAAGAGGGGGTTGCCCCCTGTTCGGAATTGGGGCTTCTTTCTTCAGATACACACATACTGGTTTTACTGTAATCATTATTTGTTGTGTTCGATTTGGGAGATTCAGATGTAATAGGAGTAACAGTCGAACGCTTTTCGGCACTTCCGCTGTTGTTTTTCTTAGATGAAGACTCGTAAGGCTTGAAGAAATTCTTGTCCTCGACAAATGACATCTTTTCTCTGGTTTTATCACTGTTCTTTGGTTTCTCAAGGCCCGATGAAATAGGCTTGTTGTTAGAATTATCGGCGCCGATTTGACTGCAAGTTTGTGCCAACAACGCCAAGGGGCTTTTCTTGGCATCCAGCTAAAAAAACATATAAAGAAATATATGTATTCACGCTTTCCAGTACACGGTTAAAACACAACAAATACTCACCATTAGTTGAATAAACCACGATTTTTGAACGTTTAATTTTCACAATAACTGCGTTTTTATTGTTGTGATAAATAAATTAATGTATATAAAACACAATGCTTGACAATTGTTATTTAAAATACAATTTTCGTATTACAAAGTACCAAAACAATAAATTTAATGAATGCAAAAACTGATAAACCATTATTAAGATTGAATTTTTATTGTTAATACAAGTTTTCGTTTAAACTTCTTTAATTTGATTTGTTTTGAATTTCTGGCTGGCCGTCCCTAATCTGTGATAGACTAGATCAATGTTTCTTAGCCGGATTTGTCAGAAGACCCCCCGCGTCCGGGCTTTGGTCGTAGCGCCCCCAATTATCTCTACAAGGATGAAAAAAAAAACAAGTTCGTCAAAGTTCATAACAAAGTGATATATGCACCTCTCAGCCATTTCGAGGACTCAAATATATATATATATATATTGATTCAGCGCAGAAAGTTAGTGACCCCCTGGAAACTTGCTCGCGACCCACCTACCGTTTGAGAAACACTGCACTAGATGGAAGTCAGTTATTCAACACCAATACTCTTTTACCAACGAATAGTGGGATTTACCGTTACATTATAACGCCCTCACGACTGAAAGGGCCAGCATATTCGGTGATTGGTTTTGAATCCACGACTCGCAGATTGTTAGTCGAGCACCCCCCCCCCCTAACTATTAAGCCATGTCAGGCCTAGTTACTTTGTAAAACAGCCCTAAGTTTATTGTTAATCTAACGGGGGGAAGGAGGGCTAGGTAGTGTGTTTGTTAAATTCTAACTACTACATTTCGAAGTCCACAAATGGGAAACAAAACACTTTACGTTCGAAAACAAAAACTATCGCAGTTTGTTGCATTGTTTTACCCATAACGTAAGCCTAACATATCGCAGTTTCTTGCATTGTTTTATCCATAACGTAAGCCTAACATATCGCAGTTTGTTGCATTGTTTTACCCATAACGTAAGCCTAACATTTCGCAGTTTGTTGCATTGTTTTACCTATAACGTAAGCCTAACATGTCGCAGTTTGTTGCATTGTTTTACCCATAACGTAAGCCTAACATGTCGCAGTTGGTTGCATTGTTTTACCCATAACGTAAGCCTAACATGTCGCAGTTTGTTGCATTGTTTTACCCATAACGTAAGCCTAACATATCGCAGTTTGTTGCATTGTTTTACCTATAACGTAAGCCTAACATGTCGCAGTTTGTTGCATTGTTTTATCCATAACGTAAGCCTAACATATTGCAGTTTGTTGCATTTCCCCCCCCCCCCATAACGTAAGCCTAACATATCGCAGTTTCTTGCATTGTTTTACCCATAACGTAAGCCTAACATAAAGTAGGTGGTGTGCCAGGTTTATCCAAAGATGCAGTTTTTAGTTAAATTACACTTACTTACTGGAGGAGGAGAAAAACACGTGTGCATTAAATACTTTGTTCGTGATTTCTGTTGGTCTAACCCTTAATACTCATGTCAAAAACATTGGTTGCTAACGAAACGTAATTTGTTAAATGAAACTGTTGGAACACTGTCTCTTTTTCATACGGGTCAGATCTTCAAGATCACTTAATATAATCAAATTCAAAAATGATAACGAAGTCCAACTACCTAAACGAGAAAACCTACGTTAAGAACAGTGACCGGAACAGGACGTAGAAATCATTACAAGCCTTCAAAATAGAATCGAAAAAACAACAACAAAGGGTTTTCATTTATTTACCCCACAACATAGAATCAGATATTAACCATACATTGATCTGAGTAACCTGTGCAGGGTCGTTGAATTAGTAGGGGTGTTAATACTGAGACAGATGTGCTTTAATACTACAAATCTCGTATTTATTTCAATCACTACATCAATCCATTTTTCTTATTCTTTTGATTTGCTATGTATCTTAAGTGTTTTGGGTTTTGTTTTGTTTTTCATTTCGCGCAAAGCTACACCGGGGGGGGGGGCTATGTCCGTTATCCGTTTCTAATTTAGCAGTGATAATCAACACCACCCTCCGCCAACTCTTGGGCTACTTTCATACTAACAAATAGTGGGATTAGCCGTCACATTATAACGCATTCACGACTGAAAGGGCGAGCATGTTCGGTGACGAGAACTCAAACCCGTGATCCGCAGATTGCATATCCAGCGTCCTAACCACCAGGCCATGCCAGACACCCCATGGATGTTAGACTTTAACAATTTTATTGAGCTAGTTCAGGTGTTGAGTTTAACCTTAAAATGACCAACGGGGAGGGAGGTCCTGGCTCCTCGGGTTATTCAAACACATTTTTCTAAACTACTATTGTTCTAACATAACCTCTTGCTAAAAACCGAGTTTCGATATCCATGGTGGGCACAGCACAGATAACCCATCGTGTAGTTTTGCGCTTAACAACAAACAGAAACTAACGTAACCTCACGCGCCCTCTAGCTAATATCTAAATAAATAACGTTGATAGTCTAACTTAAAACACTATATATGCACTACATTGCTTGTGGATATAAGGCTTTGTTCATTACAGGATCCCTAATAACAAATAGTCCATGAGCAAGACCCCCAAAATTGAGGTTTGACTAACAAACAGAGGGACTAAAAGCCACTATAGTTTTTAGTTAGCCCAGTTACTAAAGTGACTGAAAAAATATGATGGACCTTTAATATCAACAGTTCAGTGGCTTTTTGATAGCCATCTTTGAAATTGGCCACTGTTTCGCCAAATATCATAAAAAGTAGGTTATAGCTTACGTTTTAGTTACATAATTGAACATCAATAAAACAAGCTTATTATGTAACATGACACAAAGGATAATGTATTCTTTAGCACCCAGATGTTTGAGATGATTGATCATATAAAACATTGCTTTATTGTTAAATGACGATCCAAATGTGGAGAAACATCGTTCTTGTTGTTCAGTCCTCGTCACCATTTGATGAATTCTGTTCATCCTGCTGTGATTCGTCGTCATTCGTCGTGTTGGTGCAGCTGACCAGCTTGCAGGCTGCTGTGCATTTGAGGCCATTAATAATGCATGTGCAGTCAGTTGGCCAACAAGATCGCGAACAGATGCATGTCATCGGGGAAAGGACGACATCAGTGGCTGAAGATTCTATCATAAACTGGATAACCAGTCCGCCAACTTTATCTATTACCTAACCACGTCCTGCACTGGAATTGGGAATGTCTGGAGGAGTTAATGAAACTCTACCGCCAGATTGCGGCCGCCAAATTTGCACGACGTGTGTCTGTTGCAGAAGGGTATTCTCACAAGGTGAAAGCTTTCCAGGCTCAATTTCCCTTCCATTGTTGGGGCCCTGGCATGGCCAGGTGGTTAGAGCACTCAACTCGCAATAATATCCAATATTTGCTGTTAATTTGAATAACCTGTTGTCAATACAAACAAATATTTTAAATATATTCAATTAAATGTTTGTTTGTATATGGACTTGGGATCATTAAAAGCGTTTGTCGGGGTTCGTGCACGCTCGTGACCTACGATGCCACCTACTGCTACGTTCTACACTCAATCCTTCGTTCCAGGCCCAGCATGGCCAGGTGGTTAGTGCGCTCGACTCACAATCTGAGGGTCGCGGGCTCGAATCCCCGTCACACCAAACATGCTCGCCCTTTCAGCCGTGGGGACGTTATAATGTGACGGTCAATCCCACTATTCGTTGGCAAAAGAGTAGCCCAAGAGTTGTCGGTGGGTGGTGATGACTAGCTGCCTTCCCTCTAGTCTTACACTGCTAAATTAGGGACGGCTAGCGCAGATAGCCCTCGTGTAGCTTTGGGCGAAATTCAAAACAAACCTTCCCTTGCTACGAAACATTTTGTATCTAAGCTCATTGATTTCCTTCAATTTGGTGTTACGACAATAGAGATGGCATGTAAATTCTTGGATAATGTCGAACATCTCATCCGAAATGTGCCAAGTGACCCAAATGCTTCTCTAAACTTCTGATCGTGCGACAGAAGTTTCGAAGCTTTCAGTTTTCTTTGTCCACCAAATGCGCTGAGCGTATTACACCCGGCCCATGGATGAAGTCCCAATAATACTGTGCATACATCTTTTCCCAGAGCAGCATTAGCCAGTTTTGTAATGTCGACAAGCCTGACGGATGATTTGGATCCACGTTTTATAAAGATCTTGCTGTTAATCTCCCAACTTAAAGCTAGGCAGATGATGAAAACATCTTTGTCTTCAGCGACGAAAAGCAGAGTCAAATAATTCTCCGCAGCCTCTTCTTGACTAGAAACAAGATCTAGGTGTTACTGCCAACATCTTTGTGTAAGTTGGATACAAAGATGACCACACGTAACAAACATGGTTTTGTTTTCTTGCTTTTTTTCTCCTTTGGTGTTCTTTCCAGCTTTCTGTTAGGAAAACTGCCTGTTTGTTCTTGCTTTCTGTGGATGTCAACAGGATTTTCCAGTTTTTTTATTTTCTGGCCTGGCATGACCCTAATGACTTACAATTCATCACATAGATGAGCATACATCTATATTTGAGTAAGCAGTAATAATCATCGTTATCCCTAATCATTGTTATTTGTTGAGGTATATTTTTCCGCACGTGTTTCATAGTTAAATGTGTTCCGCGGGACAGATTACAAACGTGTATCTCACGTTTTCGTGGTATTTAGCGAACTGGCGGCCATTTTCAAAGATGGCCGTCAAAAAAAGCCATTTAAACTAAAATATCATCAATCCTGCACTTAACCTCACTAATTACAGGATATATTTTACAAAGAAATTGAAAGATTTCTCTTTTTTTCTCTCTCTTTTGATTAGTCCTTTACACTGATTGTTATAAAAGTCAAAAATGGTTACAACCTGATATTCCGAAAAGTGAACGTAAAAGCAGTTGCACATCTAAGCCTAATGTTTGTTTAGGTTGTTATTTATATTACATAAACAGACCCCCTCCCAGTGGCACAACGATATGTCTGCGGACTTACAACGCTAGAAACCGGCAGAGCACAGATAGCCCATTGTATAGCTTTGTGCTTAACTACAAACAAGCTAATAAATACATAAACAGTAATATGTCTATCATGTTATATTAGGGACATAAGCCGATAACAATTCTAGGTAAATTTGTAATCATTTCAGAGACCTATATTATTGTTACCCGGAATTAAAGCTTTCTAATCGTTTGAAAAAGTATTCTAAAACTCATTATAATAATACTATTAATATTCTTGTTATGGAAACAGAAATAAAAAGTTGAATAATAATAATAAGAATACAGCAAATTACTACAGTACTACTACTATTGGCGGAAGGTTATCGAAATGTCGGTTTGTCATATGATACAATATATGGACCTGATCGGCGGTGAATGGTTTAAAAATGAGTTGATAATATGATAGTTAGATAAACCACAAAAAAGACACATAAGCCAAGAGGAACCACAGTAGGCAAGTTTTTTGGGACTATCTCTAGCTTTCTCCAGAGGCCTGGCATGGTCAGGTAGTTAGGGCGCTCGACTCGCAATCCCCGTCACACCAAAACATGCTCGACTCTTCAGCCGTGGGGACGTTATAATGTTACGGCCAATCCCACTATTCGTTGGTAAAAGAGTAGCCCAAGAGTTCTCGTTGGGTGGTGATAACTAGCTGTCTTCCCTCTAGTCTTACACTGCTAAATTAGGGACGGCTAGCGCAGATAGCCCTCGTGTAGCTTTCCACGAAATTCATAACAAACAAATAAACACACAATCACGCCCCCCCCCCCAATGGCACAGTAGTATGTCAAACAAACAAAAAAAAAGATCCTCTTTACTGTATGTACAACAATGAATATTCATGTTTTAATAACGTTTAGAGTGTCTTGTTTCATTCTAAGATATGTGTGACAAAAATCGTGTTTTCGTGATGTTAAGTAACTTTATCAGAAGAAATATTAGCTTAAATAAAAAAATAAAAAACTGGGAACTTATGTCGTTAATCGTAAAAATGAACGATGGTCTATCAGCGCAGTGTGTCCATTGCAGGGATCGATCCCCGAATTTTAACGTTATAAGCCCCAACCAATAATACAACTGAGCCATGAGGGGCGAGTCTTTGTGAATTGAAAATGTAAAACCTTTGTCATCAATTTTTGACTTCTAGATTTCAAGTTCATACATACCGTTGTGGGCAATGGGGAAAGATATTCTGGTTGTATATAATGATGACTTCCTGACGTCAACATGCTTTTCAGGTGGTGTAATCAGAAGAGTAATCCAGTCTCGTCCGTGTCGAACACCACGTTAAACACAAACCTAAATTTATATATTATATATATGTTAGCCTCGAGTTGAACGGTTACTCAATCCGCTCGTGCAACTGCTCTGTACTAGTATGACGTGTAAGAACGATGCGCTCAAACTTTACCTACCAGTTAGAGCCGTATCTCCTAACGCGCCACCCACGGCAATGGTTGTAAACTAACTAACGCAACGTGATGCAACTGTCGACGGCTTGTAAAGCACTGTGATATCTGTTCTTAAATCAAGATGAATTTGGCAGTTAGTCTAAGAACCAGCTTACACTAACCATTCCTTAGTGGGAACCTTTTATGTGGAAAACAATGATTGGCTGGAAACAAAGAATGCTACATGTCCAGCCCTCAACAACCATAAGAAACAGAAATTCCCGACAGCTTGGCAAAGTGCCAGCTGTCAAGGTTTACAACGTCATCCATCAGTCGAGAGTCAAGAGTGTCAGTAGGAACTGATTTATGTTAGGCTTAGTGCTTGAGGCCTGCACTGGTACGTCAGTGAACACCTAATATTAAGACTAAAATGGGCAGCAACTCAGTAAAGGGAAACCGACGAGACAGTGGAAGTTTTCACGCATGCTCAGAATGTTACCAGTTAATTCTCTTATAATGAATGTATTTTTTTAAGTAATTGTTAATAGATATAAGTTTGGATGATAAAAGAGTCCGCTATCAGACAACAGTTAATCAAATAATAGACACGTCATTAAGACCATGGCCTAGTAGTTAGGGTACCAGACTGTGGAGCTGTGGTTCGCGTCCCGTTATCGCCTTAAACAAAATCTATCGCTCTCCGCACGTTCGTCTCATGGATGTGTTATAAAAGTAACAGTCAAATCTCACAGTTCGATCTGACAAGTGTAACCCAAGCGTTGGCGGTGGGTGGTGTCGACGAACTACCTTCCCTCTAATGTATCCGTTTAGAATTAGAATTGCTAGCGCAGACAGCCTTCGAGTAGCTTTGCGCGAAATCTAACAAAACAAACTCTTACTAAAAAAAAACAGGATTTGGAAACGTCGATTTTCAGACTTAGTTTACTTAATCTCTGTTTCCGATACATAGTTTTTAAAATTCGATCCCGAAATAAATCAAACCTTGTAATTTTGGGCGCAGTACTTTGATCTTTACTTTCAAAGAATTTTTCGTGTTTATCTCAAAAAAGATTGCGCACGGTATTTTGTAGAATATAGGTTATGCGTTTTCTCGAAGTTCCATTAACAAAATAAATATAGGTGGCGCTCCACAACGGGGTAAAAATTGACGCCTGTGTATTGACAGTAGAAAGGCGAGATTCTCTTTCGTTATCCTTGACCGTATACTTCGCGAACAACGCATAGCGTTTTCTCAGAGCACGTTCCGACCTAGCAACCACGCAAAGCCTTGCGTGTGTTGGGATGGAAACGGTCCTTAGTTAGTTGTTAGCGAGGTTTCCAAGAGATACGTATAGTACTTATTTATTACTTTTCTATCCGAGTTAAAAGAAACGTTAATTGGAGCACGTGTATTGGGAAAGCGAACGAGTATTTAATAATTATTTCAATTCACGTGTCACTTCAGCTCGAGCACTGCATACTAATCATAGACTAACGAAGAATAACTCAGCGCGAGGCACGTCAGGGGATGTGGTTATCACGATTTTTACATCGCAGTCTTTCGTCAGGCAGTTTCATTGTCCAGGGGGATAACACGCAAATAAGCAAACAAAAGGACGCTGATTTACATGCATAACTGGGCTGATAAACTAGTTAAACTGTACTCGGAAAACAGTTTCTTTTTCCTGTTTTTTTAACCGATATTTTTAATCACAAAACATTTCCATGTTCTACAACAAAGTGATGTGGTGTTTCATCATAAATTTCTATCCACAATTAACACAAGACCTTTAAAACACACACACACACACACACACACATAGCAAGGAGAAAATAAAGCTTTAACACGTGTGGGTCAGGGGTAAGTTGCCGGCCTTCTGCTGCTAAACTCTGGGGTTCGATTCCTAGCGGTGGACAAAGCGCAGCTACCCTATTGTGTAGCTTTGTCCTAAAGAAAAAAAAAGACAACATCAGTACGGTCTAATAGAGACCGTAAAGCTTCTCACTACGTAGGTACAAAGCCCATATCTCAGAAGAAGCTCTTATAATTGTAACAGAAATATCTGTTATTAATTTGCCTCGGAAATTTTGCGTTAATTTTCCGTACAATTCTAATTTAAAAGAGAAATACCTCTAAGATAAAAAAAAAACGTTAGAAAAATTATCACAAACTCAGAATGTTCTGGTATCAAAGAAAGCAAATTTCTTGTCGGCCATTTTTACATATTACTCCGAGGATCGTGACGATTTTTAAATTGTTCGTTTATTTTCTATTTGACCGATTTATTTACGAGTTAATAAACAGAACTCAGTAAGTTTGTAATGTGGTACCTGCGTGTATTGACACTACGGAGTGTTTGTTCTTATGGAATCTGAGAGGGAGATCGTATATGATAAGACTCACGTATAATAACCGCACGCAGACAGTGCTGATACAATATCTGAGATAACGTCACGCAATCAATACTGGTTTATTAATCTCTGAAATAACCTCACACAGGCAAACACAAAAGATAAAGATATCAGAATAGAATATCCATTGGAACTACTGTATATCTATAATAATACAAGACCACACGTGACCCGTTGTGTCACCCACTATTCAGGGATTATGAAGAATTCAAGCTAATTTCAATCTTGCACCGAAATGAAGGTTTATTTTGAAATCATTTAATTAAATATTTCAAACCATTGATGTTATTCATAATTCAAGAAAAGATATTTGATTATTGATCTGGAGTAAAAGTAAAGATCATTTCATTTTTCAAAAAAGTGAAGTCAGAGTTTTCAATATTGTGATGAATTAGTTCATTATGTTGTGGTCTTTCCTCTTAAACCTTATACAAATAAGAAACAGTAACACTTTATTTTCTTCGAATTACCTACCATAACCAAGGCACATTATTGAGAAATTCTTCAAGATCTTGTTTTTGTCATCTTATGCTTTTTAATAAAGATGGGAACATTGACAGGGAAATAGATTTGAACTAAGAAGTTTCATAAAGAGCGCGAACGGTAGTGTGATGAAAATTACTCATGCCAGAAATTTTCATAAAAGTGACGCCGAAAAACGGCGCTAACTCGGTAACCCGTGGCCCCATGAAGTTTCTTAAAGAGCGCGAATGGTAGTGTGAATTATTTTTTGACTGAGAAAATAAGCAAACAAACAATCTCAGAATTTTAGTAGTATATAGATAGATTCTTCAAGATCTTGTTTTTGTCATTTTACGCCTTTTAATGAAGATGGGAACATTTACAGGGAAATAATATAATAGCCAATGCTTGACGTGAGGTTTTCGTTTATAAAATTTTGTTGTTA